GTTCCTGATGGTACTTACTTCGCTTGTCTGTGAAGTCGAAGACGACAAGTCCCGACCGTCGGGCTGGCCCCCACTTGCATCGGCATCGGCGGCGTCGCCAAAGCTGCTACAGTTCGTCTCGTTGTCGGTGTCCAGGTGTTTGAAGTAGAAAACGGCACAATTTTTCGACTTACGATTAGATCGATTAAACTTGGAGATGTCGGTGTGGTGTTGCTGCTGCCGTTTGCGCAACACGGTCGGCGATTTATTGTTGTGACTGTTGTTGGGTGAAATGACGGCGATGCTCTTTTGCTTGATCGGTGCGCCGCCAACCTGTTTGTTATTGTGCAAGGTTTGCAGTTTCTGCTGGGTCTGCGTTGCCGTCGAGATGGTGTTGATGCTAGCGTTGGAAATTGTTGTGACATTGGCGGCTACAGTGGACGACGCGCTCATCGGGACTAGCATTTGTTGCTCGTCGCCATCTGTGTGCGAGTTATTCATTTTCGTTTTCATCGACATCGATGATGCATTGGCGGACGCGATCTCCCGCTGGTCATACACGTCTAACACGCCGTCGACGGCATCTTGAGCCTGGTGGCAACGGCTGACTGGGGCAGTCGCAGAGGTGTTAATGTCTGACTGTGTTAGGGTAATGTCGTTGTTGCCACTCTCCTCGCCAATCAGCGGTGTGACGAATGACTTTGAATTCATTGAAATCGCTTCATTTTCTGTTCGCTTCTTAGAGCACACTGTGGCGTTGTATGGCTTGCGTTGAGTGGACACCTGGTGTTGCGTTGTTTCCCAGTCACTGTTTTCCGAATCGGCCTCGAAGTCGGTGAGAGTGGTTGCGCGTGCTGCGTCGCCAAAGCTTCCCCTTTTGTCGAACGTTACCAAGACGCTGCTGAAGTTACCTCGTACTGGCCAGCTAAGCCTGGAACGACCGAACTGAATGTCGTCTTCGTCCTCCTCTCCTTCGTCGTCGCCGTCTGCGCAGTCGCCCTATATATAGTAATTTCGATTGTTTTAAGATCAATATCTACGAACTATTTTGGAAAAGAATTGAGATTCGTAGGATGGTTCTAAAATCAAATCAAATTTCTGTCGGTTCCAAGAAAATTGGTGTCGGTTGCGTTCAGGATAGAACAAACAACGGCGAAATTAAAAGTAAAAATAAGAACAAATTTAACAGACAGCAAAACAGAGATGCAACACTCAGTACCGGGTACATGCGTCTCTTTCGGTTGCTTGCATTAATTAGAGAAGCCGGCTGCAAGAAAACGCAGTGAAATGCTTAACAAAAGCCAATTTTTATCTACATATCGATGCCTGAGTGGAAGATCGACCTACATATCTCACAAAACTTTCCAAGGACGCCCTACTTCAGAATTTGATTGAAGAACGCCCTATCTCAGAATTTGGTTGAAGAACGCCCTATCTTAGCTGCCTATTCCAAAGCGCCCTTTCACAGCACACTTTCAATGTATTTTCAGCTGAGATAGGGCGTTTTTGAACCGAATTCTGAGACAGGGTGTTCTTCAACCGAATTCTGAAGTAGGGTGTTCTTGAAAAGTTTTCTGAGGTATGGCGTTTTCGAACTGTCTGCCGAGATAGGTCGATCTTCCACTCAGGTGTCGATATGTAAACAGATTTTGAATTTTAAATCGCGAGAAATTACCAAAGTATCAAGTAAGCAGATAGGCGTATGCCCTTAAATGCAAAAAAAATTATCTTCTTATGATCGTATCGCATTACAACCAGTTACTGTACTTTCAATGTTCAGCGTAGCGTAGAGGTTAATCGAATGTGCAGACGAACGGCTGGAACGCACAAGAAGTTCTGAATCACTAGCTTCATAAGTGAACAATACCCAAAACATAAACATAAACAGATTTGAAAACACTTCATGCACATAATGCTTAGAAAACGTGGCAATAAAAAAGTTAAACACCAAATGTTATATATGTACGACAGTTCAATTAGTTTATACAAGTAGTTGTATTATTTATTACCTTGGTAGCGTCACAATCGCGACCTTCTTCCAAATCGGGGCAATTTTGTAGTTCACAAACTGATGAAGAGTTATGTGTAATATCGCTCTCGATTCCGGAACCAAGAATATTCAAATCGTCTTCTATTGCAGCGGCTTCTTCCTCATCATCTGAAGAGTTGCATTCTGCTATGTCATCACCACCGGCATCATAATCGGCAGCATCAGCAATGCTCTGGAATCGGAAAGACAAAAGGAAATTGTATTTAAATTGATTAAATAAAAATTACAAACAGTTTTATTACTTTTCTTTATTGATAGAAAGACAATGCGTTATCAATGTTGGTACACTGTGGAAAAAAAGTTCACATATTTATGTAGGGAGAAAAACTGGGCTAAGTTCAAATACAACCAGCCCATAGTCAAAAGATCATGAGTAAGATAGAACTTCAATCTTTATTCTTGCACGGTGGAATGAACTGATTAGAATAACACAGTATAGTAATATTACGGGGCGCAAAAGGATAACCTATAACCGTGAAAGCATAGAATATACAACAGAGGCCTTAAAGCTCCATAAGGTAATGGCGAAAGCCAACAGCATGGAAAGATGGAAGCTACTGAATTAGCTAAAAATCAAACTTCTTTTAGACACTCACGTCCTAAGATTTAGGATAGATCTTCTGTAATTATTACACATCGGCTAAGCTGTCCAAAACCAAATGTAAACTTTCATCACTCGCTCTGCAAGGCATACTGTTTCAAACCGATCCAGTCCCCGTTAAAATAATGCCGTTATAGAACAGAGTGATAACCCTGTTCTTGTGCAGCGATTATCGTTCCATAAGTTTAGTTGGGGGAGGGACGAAAGATTGCATTTGGTTTTCAGTTTTAAGATGCTTAATTTGGTTTTCATGGCTATTCAGGTGCAGCTTAGTTGGTGTGCTATACGTTGTCATAAAACGCACTATATATTCGGTGACAAAACAAATTAGAAAAATATTTAGAGTAAATTGGATATTGGCTAAGGAACCTCGACTGAGTTGATTGGCGGTGATAGCATACTATGCTGGAGCAGGGCATAGAGATCGTGATTGGACCGTTATTAAAAACTGTCTGAAGCAGCATGAAATGGGGAAGATAAAGAATGTTTTCATCCTCAAGGTCGGGCCACTGAAACTCCTCTTTGTAAGCTGACATGAGTAGTGATTAATAGAGGACCAAACGAAACCCTGGCGGCTTGAATAAATTTAACTCTCAGTGGCTGTCAAAAATGTGGAGTATTATCTCCACTTATGTGTCCACCCACCGCTTCTTGACCTAATGATTACTTTCGAGGCATTTTTATGATATTGTAATAATAAGTAGGGGAATCCAATTTGATCTGAATACAACCCAAAAATAGTGTCCAAAGTGGGCTGATGTAAATCCAACCAAAAACCACCATAGTGACCCCATTTATTCGGATGGAGGATGAGGATTTTGCATTGCCGCCAACGATGCGCAGCAGTATGCACACACGCAAAAAATACCTGGGGGACCGACCATCTTATAAATATTGGCGACCCTTCCTTTCGAATCGGAAATCAAGCAGCATACAAATCTTGGTTTTAGTAATTCTTTTAGCTTTGGGATATATAATATAAATGATATAAAAATTACAAGATGATCCCCACTTCCAACAGGGGGCTCCGGATAGGGTGGGACATATCGAGCGACAGTTTTTTTTTTCAAAATTTTATTTTTTATGCAGAAATGCATCTAGATGCTATAGGAGTATTTCTGCATCAAGAATAAAATTTAAAAAAAAAATCGCTTACGTTTTGTTTTTTTGCGATTAAGGAGCGATACGTGTCGGTATATCAGACGTCAGAAAAATCGTTGCCAGAAAAGTTACCAGTTTCAACACGCTCCATTATATCATCCTCCTTCGGTTTCTTTGACATAGTTTTAAAAGCCAAAGAAAATCAGACGGTGGGCCACAAACACCAACCAGGACAAATTCATACCAACAAATAAACCCAGCGGTCGCATATGTAGGTCATATAAAAAAGCAGTACCCCTATCAGAAGAGAACTTAACGTCTTGAGTGTAAGTTTTCTGCACAAACTTCAACTTCAACTTATTTGAACCTCAAATACTAGACGGGATATATTTTAGCCAATTCCAATAAGTTGTTTTTATTTTAGTGAATTTTTGCAGGGACGTTTATATCCGAAAGGGCTATGGTCGCAGACTCTAGTTAAATAAATTCGAAAGTAGTCTAAACAGGCGTCTCGCCCTGGGCTGTCTCGAGTATTTGCACGGATTGTTGTACATTTTCATACATACATACATACATATGTATGTATGTGAACATTAGATAGTAATACAAAAAAGCTCACATTGCTAAAAACGACACCCTGTAATCAAAAGCAAATATTGTTAAAATGAACTCAAAAACTTTTGTTTGCGATAGAGAACATCTTGGCCATATGGTATGTATGTATGTCGATCTTTACAATGGTATCTATGTATGTATGTATGTAATTTGTACAGAACGGATTCGAGTATCAATCAATCTGGCCTTACGTGACGCTCGCATTACAAAAATGTAAAAAAAAAAATGAAAAAGTCAAAATTTTAAAAAGGTTTATGTAGATTTGCATATAATTAAATGGCACTTTCTTCAGTAAAAAAAAATTACAATTAAAGATATGACAGAAATGGACTTTGACTTCGATTACAAAATTGCAATACTCTGCGAATTAGGCAAGACTATTTGTATAAAAGTTTTTGTAGAAACATTCGAAATGTTTAAGGTTAATTTTTCAAGTTTTTAAATGTAGAAATCTTTTCTGCTTACATGACTTTACGTTACTAAAATTACCACTGAAAAAGTTTTGTTAATGTTGTTATTGAGAGAATTTTTAATGGGAAGAAAACATGTATTTTATGTCGAATATATAAGAAAAAAAAAAATTAAAATTCAGCTTTTTTTTTAGAAGATTTCAATATCTAATCTGTAATAGTTTACATTCCTGAAATTCTCAAATAGTACGAGCAGCGAGTGGTTTTTACTTTTGCTCTTTACAGCGTGATGCTGTCTAATGTTCACACATATTTGCATAGCCTTGATTTTTTATTTGAATGATCCTAAGAGTTTCGTAATCATTTGGAAAAGAATTTTTCGTTTCTGTTCATTGCCAACTAGAAATATTTGTGTATAATTAGGCGGTGATATTTACAACAGATTCTTCTACAACAAATGCGTTTGAGTATTATTTTGGATCTGATGGAATACACTATCTACATACAAATATATACTTACATACATGCATACAAACGTATTTACGCTAGTCGTATTCCATGATTTATGAGCAGCGCTCGCCAATAGTAGGTACTTTTGCCGCTTTTTTCGGAACCTCACAAGGAAATATATATACATACATATGTATGTATTTTAGAATGGCAAATGTACGTAAGTATGTATGCTTTATAAACTACGTCGGTACATAGTTTCTAGTTAATTAGGTGCGAAAGAATAAATGTATGCTGCCACAAATCGTTTTTTTTTTT